CCGAAAATAAATAAATTAAAAAAAAAACAAAAAACATGCCAATATAATCTTAATTCAAATTCGAAACCGATATCACAAGGCAAAATATGAACGAGACCCCTGAAATGTACAAGGATGTGTTCCGAGTGTTCCGGTAGGACAAGCGTCTTCTGGTGTATGGTAAAATCACCATATAAATCATTATGAAAAGTTTCAAACTTTATTAACAAACCACATCTGCTTATTCAAACGTGACGTTTAAGCATAATTTCATAGAAATAGATTTTCATACATTCACTGAAGTTTCGCCGCTAAGTCATTCTTGACGATTTATCTAAAGAGTCGAGAACAGAAGAAAAACATCGACAAATTAACGAAATCATAATACGAACTCAAAATTGTTTAAATGGGGGGAAACATGATAGATCGACGCAGAGACTTTTGCATTTTACAAGAATAAGACCAGGTTTTCCGGAACCTCAAAACAAACTAACGTGCATCAAATACATGTACGTCCAACTTCATATCGCACAAAGAAATAGCGTACTATCTGATTCTGAGAACCGTTAAATTTCCTTGTTACTTCTTACGACATCTTGCAAAAAAATCGTGATATTGGGAGCAAGCCCATGAATATTGAGTCATCAGGGAAAGGTAAAACCCATGGGTTGGGGTTGCAGAAGATTTCCTATGAAGAAATTGAAAATTCCCAATAGAGAAATTGAAATAATAACGTTTATCATACAGCTTGGTGGAAAGCGGTCTCTGAACAGTTTCGTGGTAAGAAAAGATCGAGGAAAGCAGCTGATGTAGAAAAGACGACCCTGACCTTGATTTCCGTTTCTGGTTGACAAACACCATGGTCATGGTTAATGAATTTCTTCTTATTTAAAGACATGACGTCACCAATATATCTGAAAACAAAACTAAAAGATTTTGCAAGGTCTTTGTTACCTGTTTTAGGTATGAAATGAAAAAGTCAGCCAAATAGAAAGTAAGATGAAATCAGATCAAGGAAAGGGTTATGAAACTTTACTGGAGAGCATTTCATAAATTAGTGTCTAATGCCAAGAAGATGGTGTTACACTATTGACTTTGGTAATGATACATTGTAACAATGTCATACCACGGTTAGTATTACACTAGTATCTGATATGTAAGACAATGTAAATGGAAGTGGTGTTTAAACGGTACCACGTGATTATCATACATGTAGGTAAAAAGGGAAGATAATGTAAAAACGGAAACACACTTGTTAATTTGATGGCCGGATTGTGATTTTTTGTTGGCCGTAACTTACCGGTGCCCCAGCTGACAAATATTGAAATTTATTGGGTAATCTATTATTTGCTCTAAATATCATGACTTCCATGGCAGAAGTCTAAAGCTGCCAGGAGATACAGGTTAATCAATACGATACAGATTTCATGAACGTCATCATAATTTCATTAAAAAAAAAAAAAAAAAAAAAGAAGTAAGTTTTGATGTTCGTTTGTATTCCCGTTAGGAGCGTTATTACAGACTCGGTTCTAATTCCAAACATTTCTAGAACTGGTCCAGATTCAGATGATATGTACCGTCGATAAAACAGAAAACGTGCAAATCGTTTACTTTGGGTTTCAGTTTTAATTTCAAATGTTACTGAGTTTCGGCGTTACTTTCCCTTGAGTATATTTCAAATATAAACTTTATTTGACCTGTTTAAGGAAGGTATCGATTAAAAAAAAACAAAAAACAAAAAAAATCTATTACAAAGACACTTCTGATAAAGGTGGGCCATATGAGAATGCTATCACTGACACGAGGATGAAACAGGTGCACCAATCTAATAAGGACAAGATAATTGGTGCTCTCAATTATCACAGATAAACTAGCGATATAAACAGCTTAGATAGATGTCAGGAGAATCCCGACACTAAGTGTCATTATCACACAGAGGTTAACCAGTCCAATCATTTATATAAGATGTTTTGATCTGTTTCAGGTCGTTCACTGTCCATAACAAGACTCGCACAGAATATATACTACTTTTAAATGACAGGTGCGTTGTATGATTGCAGGAAAAAAATCTAAAACATTTTTATTTAATTTTTACCTAGTATTAATCATATTGCTCTGAAAACAGAACATCAGCTATTACAGTGTAATCTTATGTGATAATAGATTACAACGTTCTTTTAATCTGTCCTCATGAATGGTCAATATTCTGTTGTGTATATACTGAAATACAATTTTAGTATGACATGGCACAGGATGTAATATATTTTCTAGTCACTTAAAACGCTTTTAAAGCTTACGTTCGGTGTGTTAAGCTAAGGGTTGGTGTCACTGAGGTCGACGTTGTTTACGGATTATGGTACTCGCAGAAAAAACCACTTACGACGAGAAAAAATGACCGGTTGCTTGTATTCATATCTTTAAGATTTAGAGTATATACTATAAGTCTTGGTCAGACAAACTTCTTTGTAAAAAAAAATCGATTTTTTCTGTCATGACAGCGATGTGAAGATCTCCCCGTTTTGAAATGTTTTAGCTGACAATTTACTGCTAAGCAACTGTATTCTAAAATATGAATTCAATTTTAATTGAAAATATGTTTTTAAATAGTTAAACTAGCGACCTATCAATTATTTTCTACGAAACAACTGGTATAACGTATAATGTATATTTGCACCATATTTATAGACAAATTGCTAATTAATCGTTTAACGTTAATACTCTATTCACCATCAATTGTTATCCAAAAAATTGTACAGCAATACGGTTTCAAAATGAAACGTGCGCAACTAGAGACCAATGGGAGACATCATATGATATCATTGGGACATATCCATCCAGCACTTCGCAAGAAATAACGACAAGCTTCAAAAATACAATATATCATGACTGCCTGTCACCTATTTTGTTTTTCCGGTGATTCCCAAAATTGGACGTACATAGTCAGGTATCAAGAGGGGAATAATATGAAATTTGAAAGAGATTTGAACTTCACAAGAAATAGCACAATAATAGTTTAAAAACAGACGGACGGACGGACGAACGGATTGACGAAGACTTATTCGAAAAGTCCAACTTCTGATGACGGTGGGCTGCAAAGTACCATGTAGTTTTGAACAGAAACTTTGTGTTCCGTACGAAACGAATTATTGCAACCTAAATCTTCAACTATTGACTGTCAAATATAATCCAATGCCAGCATATCTGGATGTTATGCGTGGAAGTTGGTTCCTTGTTCGTCGGAGACAAGGTTCCAAGCGAACTATTGCAATCGCTTTTTGTCCATCGGAAGTCCCCAAAACATTTCCGATTTCTTCCCAAAAGCCCCTGAACCAAAGGTGAACCAATATTTTGAATATTATACCAACAAGGGCCTTAGGGAAAGCGCAAAAAGACAGATATTTGATTTTTTCTCAAGATATACTAGAATGAACAACTCTGTACGGACTAAAGAACCTTAAGATGCTTTACGAAAATTACGACCCCAAGGAGTCAGATTATCACCTGGGGTGGGAGTAAAGTTTACACCGTAATTTGTTCAATATGCTTTCCTCACAAGGCCCTGATATGAAGTTATGAATATCGCTACTCCCAATATCTCACATAAACACCAGTGGAAGGAGGTACAGTTTATCATAGTTTACATCAGAAATTTAGTTTTAAACATTCCCCCCTCAAGGACAACAATTCAAACCTGGTTATAAAAAGGCAGTAAATGTTATGAAGGTTTTACATCTGCATTACATGTACAATGTAGTTATCAAACTTTGTTGACAAGATGATTTTAATGACCTTTGTTGTAACAACAAAAAACTAAGAATTCAGGTGATCATTTAGGACTTTGTACTTCTGGTAAATTTATACAGAAGCAATGACCTTGACCTATGAAGTTTGGTGCATAAAAGTAAGCACTTTCTGCTTGGTTTGATGTTCATGTTGTAGAGAAATGTAGAGAGAGATTGAAATTCCCAAACTTAGTGCTAAGAAGACTTGCCTGTTAATAACATTAATCAATTTTTTTCTGTATATGTGTAGGTGTATAAGGTGTATACTCTAAAAATCTATAGATGTATTGTAAAATATCCAGTATTTTGGTTTCATTTTGTTACAAGATTCAATAATTCTTTTTTCATAAAGTAATTGGAAAAATATCATTGAGTCTAGCTGACGAGAATTCTCAAAATGATATTGAGCAGATATAATCTGTGTAAGGTAGCACCTTTTGATATGTAATGACTACAAATAATACAGTGTACATCCAGCAACAATCCAGGGGGCTAAACACGAGTGATTCAAATACAGGTGGGCTTATTAAAGGACAATACTATATTATAGGGGGCTAAACACGAGTGATTCAAAGACAGGTGGGCTTATTATAGGACAATACTATATCATAGGGGGCTTAACACGAGTGATTTAATGACAGGTGGGCTTATTAAAGGACAATACTATATTATAGGGGGCTAAACAGGAGTGATTCAAAGACAGATGGGCTTATTAAAGGACAATATTATATTATAGAGGGCTAAACATGAGTTATTCAAAGACTGGTGGGTTTATTAAAGGACAGTACTATATTATAGGGGGCTAAACATGAGTGATTCAAAGACAGGTGGGCTTATTAAAGGACAGTACTATATTATCTGTAGGCATTGTTAACACATCATAATATCCGTGTTGCCCTTGTCGTGCTTACTGTAAATCACTAAAGATTTTGTGAATACTTTATTTCGCAAACTTATCTGTTCAGACATGATTTCATGAACACTGATCTAAAAATGACTTTAGATTAACAAATGATGAGGTATTACACTTCAAGACTTCCATATTGGTAACCAAATCAACATGAATACCATCCAGAGTTATTTTCACACAAAGAATTGAAAGGATTTGAATTTTTGACTGATTCCCCTTGTGAATTAATGTGAAAATAAATCCCACAACAAATTTATGTGATTTACAGTATCATTAGATAAACTTAACACCATGGTTACCAAAATCACAAATGTCCAAGCTTTCTAATTAGAATAAAACCTTTTTATTAAAACGACTGTCACATTCCCATCTCATCACCGATTCTCTCGTTAATACAATATATCAATGAAAACAACATAAATCATGATTACGTCTGGTACACAAATGTGGTAAAACACAATAAGCAATTTGTCTGAACAGAAATTGATACATATTTTTGTATTTCCATTTGAACAATGATAAGTCACCTCTGACTGATGTTTTTCAGGGTAAACAAACAATTGTAGAAAATGTTCTCATCTTGTAATTATTGGAGTTTGGAATCATCGGTTGGTATTATGTTATTTGTTATCATCAATCAAAAAAATATTAGATGTTAAGCATAAAAAGTGAGATCGTTTCGTACAAAATGTTTTATAAGATAACTCTGTAACAGTGTTAATTGACTGAGTCAATAAACTGTCCAACAATCTGTGATCCTTCACAGCATAATATCACAAACTTTATATACATACACATCAGATATGTGTTATAGTACATCAGATATATGTTATAGTATAACTCTGCACATTATTGTTCACTCTGTAGTTTGTAGTTCAAGTATTTTACTCCTTGAACAACAGCTGTTTCCGCGACTTTGTACATTACAGTACCATTAGAAACCATGCGAGGATCAACATCATTCCACCGTACGGTGTTGCATATCGTATTCGGTCATATCCTGTAAGTGAGTATACATAACAGCTGCCACAGAATACAACTGTACCCATAGTCATCAAACTTCCTACCTGTCAAAGAGATACAAGTCACTTTTACATTGACCGTTGCGATAAACTGTGTTTGTAGCTGTCAACAGACAAATATAAAACAAGATACAACAGATGATGGTATACTGCAGTAATTATCTGGATTCCTGATAAAAAAAATTTCTAATTTTGAATTTACCATAATGCTTGTTTTTTTACCTAAAATTCTTCACAAGTCCTTTTACATTCAGTTGAATATGAATTCTGTAGTATTCCCAAACCTCCGTACCTCTCCTTGTATCACTTATGTGGGTACACAAAAAAGTTGCATTATGTATAGTTTCCTAGATATGGAGGGTACAATTCTTCTTAACCAAACAGATAGAGGGAGCCCATATCCCGGAGTGCCACACTTACTTTGTGGAGTTGGGAATATTGAAACTGATGCTGTACATCTACCTACATGTCATCGGACTTAAAAAAAAATCAATAACTGAAATTGTGTAGACAGAAAAACAGGTTCATCTAAAGGTGACAGGTTTTTTACAACAACATGTAGTTTTATTCCTCTCTCAGCCCATTGTGTTAATGTGTTGATAGTCGGATCAATATATCATATATACCACCACTGGTATATGGCCTTTTGGTCTTTTGATTGGTTGAGAAGTTTAATTTTGAATGAAAGGGCACTCCTTAGTATTTCATGACTGGTTTTTTTTTGAGATATGATTTTGTATGGATTTCACTCAGTTTATTGCTTTGAAGATAACAAACTCATTTATTACTCATTATAATTTGTAATGAATTATATAATTTACACAAATACCTGAAATTGTCAGTTTTGCATATCAATTAGTGATATTTTACTTCAGGTTATTATATCCCAACTCAAATGTAAACAAAATTGGCACTCATCCTATGAATAGTTTTTTTATAGAGTAACAAAAATAGTGATAACAAACTTCATTGTGGTAATCCAAGAGCTACCTGTCAGCCATTCTATTCTTCTGATCAGACCTTAATCAAGCAGGCACAACTAGGGACAAAGACAAACCTACATATGAAATCTGGGAAAGATCCATCATCAGGTACCGCTCAAGAAATAACAATCACAAAACCTATCTATGGACGGACAACAGACCACAGATAAAAGGGTGAACTGAATAGTCCTCCATCTGATGATGGTGGGATAAAAACAAGTCAAACAAATTGTAGTATAAGGTGATCCCTTCATTCTTGTTAGTTAGTTTTCAAAATTTACAAGAGATAATTGCTAAAGCTTGTGTTTTTGTAATGGTTATCAAGTATATGTTAAACAACTGTAGATATGTTATTAGGACACAGCAACATACCAATAAAGGACGGCTACATAATGGCGTCCCTAACAAAGCCACAGAATGGATCAGGTGAAAGTTACTGGCGATGTCAAAAATCTGAAAGGAGAGAAATGCAACACACTATGATATACTGATAATAACCATTTTTTACACAAGTTTATACAACAAGATACTTTTATAGGTAAATTTCTTACCTAATATGCAATACATTGTCTAATCTTATTTTTTTGATGTTTTTGACAGTCTGCAAATATGGTAAATGTCCATAATTTATCTTAATCTTATTTAATTCTAGACGAGTTTCCTCTGGTTCCTAAACTGAAGATATAAGAAATTCCACACTCGAAAACTGTCTAAAGTCCTGTGAAGGAACATATTTAACTCTAGTTAGCCTTCCTTACTTTACTAGCTAATACCTTAATTACCTACCAAATCTATACATATCTTACCTTCTTCTTCTTTTCCTCGGCTTGGCTCATACCTGAAAATAAATAATTTGATTAGACTTGGAAAAGAAATCAAGGTGTAACCCTGACAAATACCAGCCATAATATATTATATACCACTTGGATAGAGAGAACTCTCTCTAGCTCAATCAGATGAGCGTCAGAATAATTAAGCCAAGGTCCTGGCTTCGAATCCTTGGTAAGGCATTGAAATAAATAATTACCTGTATTACAATGGCACTCATGTAGGGACTCTGGAATAATACAAGTGTACTTAGCATTGTCCCACATAATCACTATTACCCCTGGAAATTCAAGAGCAAGTTCTTTCTTAGCGGTAGAGTATGTAACCATAGTAAATACTAGCCGCACTCTTTAGCTTAGTCGGTTGAGTGTCAGACTAGTAACTCATAAGTCTCCGGTACAAAATGTAGCTAGCGGAGGCACTAAAATAAATAATGACCTCTGTGTTACACAGGTATTCCTATTTTCAACAAATTACCAAAAGGGATTCTAGATTATTGATGATTCTAACAGTTTATACTTTGTTTTATAATGTGTTTGCAGTATGATATTTACAGTGCTTTAAGTTTAATGTATTGCTTGATTAGAATAGAGAATTGACAGAGTGTAATTTAAATACATGCCAGTTCATTCATTGTGAAAAAAAATAATATAGTTTGATATACAGTATCTCAAACGCCTAATGCATGTTAGTGATATATACTTGTCATCAATACGTGTCCATTGTTTCGTAGTTTTATGTAAACCAATGGAGCCATGTGCACATATACCGGCACTTTTTTCTGATGCAATGTTTATCCTCTTTTTTGTTGAAGACGATACAAAGTATCGGTTTGTATTTTTCTTTTCTTAATGTTTTGGGAATTCTATCTATGTTGCAACAATACAACGGACAGCACACAATATAATGTAACAATATTCATGATCAGCTGGCTGACATCAATGACAGCACGGACCATTCCAAAGTCCATGGTGGCAATAGCCAGAGTAAGCCTATTAATCAAATATAACTATTTCTCTCAGAACCCGTCTGGTGTCCGAAAATATAAACAAAATGCATACCATGTGCTCCGTATGCAGCCATGCATACCGCCATCGAACCTGACAACCCCGCCAATCTCACGAAGTTTCTGCCTGCCAAGGCCATGGTACTCTCGCGAATAACCACCGTTTCCACCTCTTTGATCCGTTCTGGAATGACAGCCGGGAGATGATTATACAGCGCCTTGATACTGTCTGTGACTGACTGCATATTCAACACATTCAGAAAACAAAGTTCTTCGCAAATAGCCTAAGGCACACACGCAAACAGACTGTTATAACGATGTATAAGTAAATGTTTTGGAAGACCACTCGATAACTTTCAGAATTTCTATAAGACATCCACTTCCGGTTAAGAATTAACCGCGGGAGACAACTCTAACAGCAAAATTCATCTAAAGGTAATACAAATAAATTCTAAGCAACTAAGAATTGGTGTAATCTTTCAAACAAATGGAAAATTTTAAAATCTTTATTGTTTTTTTTTTTTTTTAGATGTTAACTATTATCCTTTGGCATGGTATTTTAGTAGCATGAAAAACAAAAGGAAACTAGAAAAGATAGCCAAAAATGGAGAAGAAAGAGCAGTTAGGTTTAGTAGAAAATGGTTTTACTAGCTCTAACATAATTACTTTTGGAAAGAAATAATGCTCCTGCCTGCCTGTTAGATGAACCCCTTTTTAAGTTTTTAAAAATTATGAATGGTCTTTGCCTTCAGTTCATCACAGAACTTGTTACTTGTAACCACTCTACCTATAATTTCAGACGTGACCTTGTTGCTAACATGGCACAACAATGTATGGAAAGAAGTCTGTCGGTTTGAGGACGCCCGGGTGTGGAACAGTCTGCCTAATGAAATAAGAAAGGCTGAATCCTTTCCCGTTTCCCGCAGTCTGTTACACGCCTGGGACCGCCCAATATGGAGATGCAACATATACAAGTATTTTATGCTTTCCCCAAGCTTATTGATATTACACTTTGTGCTGTATTTTGTCACTGTCTGCCAGTTTTGCCTGCTTGTTTATGCTTGTATTTTTTAAAAAAAATTATTACCATGCACATTAGATTTGCTTCATTTGTATATTGTATTTATCTACTTATGTTAGTGTTATATACTTCCTAACATTATAATCAGTCAGTGTCTAACTTAATTGTTTCTTGTTGTGTAAGATTATGCTATATTACCATGTATTCGGTCAAATTGTACTCTTTGCCATATCAATGTTTATTGGACCTTCCGGTCTTTTACTTATCATTTATACATTGTGTGTATGCTGCATGAGCATTTTTTTTTATTATTGTTTTTTGTTTTTGTTTTGTTTTTGTCGCGCGAGTTTTATTAGCTAGCAGTGATTGTAAAGTTATCTGTGATGTGGGTTTTGATTTCTTACTATGGTAAATATAATTATATACTCTGTGAACATAATCAATTAATAAAAAAATGTGACAACATAGAATCAGCATATGAAATTTAACAATGATATACAATGTCATAATGAATGACTTACGAGTATAAAACAATATCGACGAATACATGTGAAATGGGTACATTCTCGCTTCCAATTGGCAAGGACCCTTACCATCATACCAGTGATTAAAGGTTGGACAGTGCACAGGATCACATCTTAATAAGCAATTTAATCAATACTACTCAAACCTGATATACGTATACGTTCAGACAATCAAAGTGGAAGATAGTGTGTAACCAGTGCGCCACCCGACCAGCCTTGTACATATCATATCGGACCAAAACTAATTGATATCTGCCGTTTGCATTGTCTGGGTACAACTGATCCCTTATCGTTCTTTAGGAATATCTGACGATCACGAGGACACACCTGATGACCATGAGCGAGGACAACGTGTATTCTGTCTCTCAGAAATCGGTTGATGGATTAACTTACTAGACAGCAAATGGTATATAAATATAGAAGAAAACGTCACTGGAAAAAGTAGACCGAATAGAAAGTCTCGCAATAACATATTATTGCCTTTCGTATTATATTACAGTTTGATTTTTTTTCCAATTATCTATAAAACTGTGACAACATAGAATCAGCGTACGAAATTATGAAACTTTAACAAGGATATGGGGTCACTTACGAGTCGTATTATATAAAACAATATCGGCGAATACATGTGATCTAAAGAAGGTAGATAAAAAAATGTAAATACCTTTTGGAGAATGTGTATTAAGATAAAACAACATCATGAAGAAATACATTTTATTATGATTTTACATCTTACATACTTTATATTTGGGATACATTCATATCCCACCATTTATAAGATAAACAAACCGTACCAGGATAAATGTAACAAACGCGAGTTGCCTACCTTCTAATGGTAAAACAGATTGACAAATCAACACCTAAAAATAACTTTGTCGAAACGACGAGACATACACTTGACGGGATCAATTTGATACATTCATTGGTAAGATGAACTTAAATATTTTGTCAAAATACCATTTCAGTACTATCGAATATTTCTCCAAGACGAAACAAAACAACAATACAAATCCCAGCACTCTACCTAGACTTTCTGGTAGTTAAGCCATGCATAACTTTTGTTTATTGAAAAAAAAATCTAAGTACAAATAAATAATAAAACCCTTAAATAGCACGTTGTGATGTACACGTGTTCCCTCGAGCTGCCAAAATGGCGACCACGTGCACGAGCAGCAGTTTTGGTGACAAGTCCGTTTACTTTAAAAGTCAAGAGTCAAGAGAGCGCTGCCTTGTCACACCAGTTCAAACTAAGGGCGATAACTCCCGCAGTTTTCACAACAAGCACCTTGTATGCAAATGAGTCCACACCCTGCCAGGCGACTTCAAGAAGCAAACATAAGTAATACGCCAAAGGGTGGATGGTGGGAGTGTCCTTGTTTAGAATGGACTTCAGGTGGCACTTTGTCGAGATTAGTACATTCTCGCTTCCAATCGGCAAGGAACCTTATCACAATACAAGTGATAAGAGGTGGGACAGTTCGCGGAATCCTTCCTTCATAATCAATATGATTAATACTACTCACATCTGATATACGTATCCGTTCAGACAATCGAAGTGGAAGATAGTGTGTAACCAGTGCGCCACCCGACCAACCTTGTGATGATAATGAAGATGATGCAACGGTGTCCAGAAGGAAAATAAGTTGATGACGTCAAACATTGCTATATGTGGATATGTCGCCGTGTGTCGTGTTAAAATCTTGCACAATTTAAGTAAGATTGAAAAAAAATACCCACCAAAATAAAATAATAATAATAATAATAATAATAACAAACAAAAATTAAAAAAAACAAAATACGCTTCAGTGAATTCATCGATTCGTCGTTTTAAATGTGCATTTTATCATATTGCTCGCATTTAGGCAGTCACTATTTCATATGACCCATACACTCATGGTTATATGTAGATATATGTTGTAGCCAAATAGTCCCGTACATATCATATCGGACCAAAACTAATTGATATCTGCCGTTATCATTGTCTGGGCACAATTGATCCCTTATCGTTCTTTAGGAATATCTGACGATCACGAGGACACACCTGATGACCATGAGTGAGGGCAACGTGTATCTGTCTCTCAGAAATCGGTTTTAATGGATTAACTTAAGTCTTACTGCAGTTCAGACACAATAATCTACATGGTAGATGCTGTTAATGCGATGTTGGAATTGACCCTCCAAGGCCAGTGATATTAGCTTTGCTATTGTGGTTGTCAAATGCACTGAACGCGTGTTTATTTGAAATTCAGCTTTTTGTGAAATCGGTGAAAAGTCTTCATTGTCACAAAACATCATGGCTGATCATGTTTTAGTTACAGATTCTGAGTTTTGTTTGATAAATGTGATATTGTCTATAAAAACATCTGCAGTGTACAGAGCTGATACTGATGTCGAACGGAGTAGTGATCAATATAAAGGGTTTTAGTCCGAGGCCATGTCGTTTAGACCAAAGGGGACACAATAGAGAGGTATATGTGTAATGTTGAACTGTGCTACCCGAATTAATTATACTTTTTAGCAGTAACTCTCTTCGGGAAAAACTTGCAGTTCTAAGGAGCGCCTACTAACTTTTATTTAACTAAAGGCTGATAGGGACAACTAGATATCAAGGAAAGCCCTTAGTACCTTTCTTACATCAACACGCCGAGGACACTAAATGTACCATATCTGCAATTGGATTTGATTTGATAAATACTGTTGTTCTTAAACGCGAAGACGTCTACTATGATACCCTGATATCTTCATACCATGAAATTAATTATACTGAACACAAACACGAAGCACAGAATACTAGACAGCAAATGGTATATAAATATAGAAGAAAATGTCACTGGAAAAGGTAGACCGAATAGAAAGTCTTGCAAACACATATTATTGCCTTTCATATTATATTACAGTTTGAATTTTTTCCAATTATCTATAAAACTATGACAACATAGAATCATAGAATGCGAAATTATGAAACTTTAACAAGGATATGGGGTCACTTACGAGTCGTATTATATAAAACAATATCGGCGAATATATACATATGATCTAAAGAAGGTAGATAAAAAAAAATGTAAATACCTTTTGGAGAATGTGTATTAAGATAAAACAACATCATGAAGAAATACATTTTATTATGATTTTACATCTTACATACTTTATATTTTCGATACATTTATCTCCCTCCATTTATAAAATTAACAAACCGTACCAGGATAAATGTCACAACGGTAAAACAGATCGACAAATCAACACCTAAAAATAACTTTGTCGAAACGATAATGCCATTTCTGATAGGGCGGAAGGGGAGCGGGGGGTAAAAAAAGGGTCTGCTTCCTTGGTGTGAAAATTAATTTCCCTCTGGCGTATATCAACTATTACCCATGTCCTGAACACCGGTAAACTAAATGATGAGCTAAGTGGTATACACGCCGTTTTGGGGTGGTGTTGGCAAACGTCTGAAATATGAGCTTTGCACAGATAATGACAATGTTGTGGGCAATTAATTACTTTTTAGAGGGCGAGACAGGGTCATGCGTTCATGGGAGGGGATATTGTCAATTTAGAATATTTTACTTGAGTTACTTAGTATCTCCCTACATATTTATATAAGTATACGTACAAATGTGTGGTCACATGACCGTATTTTCAGTATTATTATTATAATTACATTCTTAACGGTCCGTAAACACATAAGAGGTCATTAGGGCCATCAAACGGTAAAACACACAGCGATCCAAAAAGAAATAACATTAAATAAACCAAAAGGTAAAAGACAAATGTTAAAAATCTTAAATGGGTATGTTAACACAAAATATTAAAATGGTCAAAGTATATTATGTAGACCAACATCTTTCAGGTAATGTAGAATTTTACAAATCTCAACAGTTTCAAAAGGGGATTTTAGACGTGTAATGTTACGATAAAACATTCTCGAGTAGACGCAGTCCAATAAAAATGTTTAACGGTGAATGGCTCATCACACCCTATGCACCAAGGATTATCTTCGCCTTTCAACATATATGAATGTGTAAGGTATGTATAATCCATCCGAAGACGGGCAAGGACAACTTCGTCTCGGTGGTTGTCTCTATATCCTGGAGACCATTCACCGATACCAGGTTTAACGGAGTGCAATTTGTTATTGGTATAGTTATTCCAATCCTCCTGCCACTGAGCTTTTAAAATTTGTTCAAGAAATGGTTTAAAATCGGTAAAATGAAGTTTAAAAACAACTGGTGGTAGCGATAAAGCTTGCTTTGCGGCACGATCTGCTTTTTCATTGCCTGGTATTCCCAGGAACCCAGCAAAAAGCAATACGAAGGTTAAAAGCAAGTTCATGATATCGTATTAAGGTATTACGAATGAAAATATTTTCGATATTTCTAGTGCCAAAACTTTGTAGAACAGAAAGAGAGTCTGAATGAATAACAGCTCTCATTACTTTGTTTCCTTGAATATATTCAAGAGCGAGGTAGATAGCTCGCGCTTCTGCCGAGAATATTGAGGTGTTGTGCGGTAGCCGGCATCCATAGGTTTCATCTTGAGTAACCATGGTCGCAGCAACCTTATCGTTATCTTTGAATCATCAGTATATAAATATAGAAATGTTTCCTATTTGAACTGCAATTCCGAGAAGGATGAACGAAAGGTGTAATTGTCTGTGTCTGATTTAACCATTTCATAAAGTGAAAAGTCAACTTCAGGTGAATTCAGGTGGAATTTCAAGCGTTCCAAATGACTGAATTTGTGAAAGAGCGGAACTTCGAATACCGAATGATAGAATGGTTTTATATTTTGGATCAAATACAAGGGAAAAAGTAGGATTTGAAGGATTTGACTTAAGCTGAATGGTGTATTGCAACGCCAGTTTATTTCGACGGCTATATAATGATGGTTCGTTAGCCTCTACATAGAGGCTTGCTGTAGATGTGGTCTTAAAACCTCCGAAAGCGAACCTGAGACCTTGGCGATGAACAATGTCTAATAACCTGATATTTGAAGGTCTAGCAGATCCGTACACAATGGAACTGTAGTCTAGTTTTGATCTAATCAGGGCTCTATAGAGTCTTAACAAAACTTTCATATCGGCTCCCCAATCAGTGTGGGATACAACCTTTAGAATATTCAGTGCCTTAAGGCATTTGGCTTTAAGGTATTTTATATGTGGAAGGAACGACAATTTCCTGTCGAATATTACACCTAAGAATTTCGTTTGCTCAACAACCGGAATGGTTACACCACAGAGAGAGATTTGGATCGTCGTATTGTTTCCGAATTTGACAAAAATGCATACAAACTGTTTCTGATTGTTAAAATTTAAAACCATTTTCATCTGCCCAAATTTGTAGTCGATTCAAACATTGTTGAAGTTGTCTTTCGATGGTTACCATATGCTTAGATCGATAGCATATAATGAGGTCATCGACATAAAGAGCGCCCTCCATTGAAGGTTTAATGTTGCATTTTCAGTAAAGTGGGACATGTAATAAATTTCGAATGAGAAGATGTTCTATATCATCTTGCTCAGTGCAACAACTGTCATTACGGCCATTACCTTATGATCATTTCGTCCGATAGTTATTGACAAGGAATTAATCATACAAATTAGTTACAAAAACCTGTGTGTTGACTGAGAAACAATTGGAAAACAAAACAACCAGACAACAAAGCAATTAGCCGGAACCACTTCCGTACACCGATGTTTTTCTGAAAATCTAATCGAATAGCTCTGACATCTAGTATTGTATTATATGGACGTCTCATCCTACCTCTTTAAAATTCATGAAAGTATCTTAAAGCGTTCTGAACCCAGATCAAACAAAATCAAGAATGAATGTCCCTGATGTAATCATGACTGCAAGTAAACTTCTCTTTAAAGATGATTGTACATGTAAGTATCAACTTTAACAAATTATACTCATGGTGCAGGTCTTCAATAATGCTTGTAGGACTCGTCATCATTGTTTTATGTACTGTAACTGAATCGGTAAGTCAATATATTCAGACCAATTGTTATAAATGTCAATCGTAAACTGCGTATAAGCATTGCATATATCCGATCGAAATGTAAAGATTGATAAGCTTATAATTCTAAAAAAAAAAAGAAGAATAAAAAACCAAGGCATTAAAATAAACTACAGTGATTGTTGATATTCATAAAAGGTGAATTATGTTTTGGTTATAACTTTGCCGCTATGTGGACATGTTGTTTATATTTCATAAATTGTTTCTTAATTACATATGAAATCCTTTATTTCGAAGATATCAAATGTAAAACAATATAACTATTTATTATATATCAACAGCAGTCTGTCTTATTGACTCATCGATACACGTACACTGATGCCGTGTTTACCTGAACTGCAGTTATGTGCCATTTTCACCAAAAAGATGACACAACCAATTTTTGTTTATGGAAGTAATATCTATGTGTTGGGAAACTACTATACTTGATCGTCAGAGGCATACACAATAATGCTTTCATTTCACATTAAAGTTGTCAAAATAAGCATTTTGTTGAAAATTTGGTAAGACTATGAAGGAGATTCATGTGTAAGTTTCAACTATAAAATGATACAACTAATTTTCACCTATTTACTAATTAGAGGCATACATTTTTTTAAAATTTTTATTTACAAAATGATACATTAATATTTTTTCTGAAATGCCGCTATATAACTATATTAAAAATCGTGACTCGGTATGACCTCAATAGTTGCATATGGTTGACCGATTGTATTGAATTTTGATGCAATCTAACATAATTAGAAAATGCATAGGGATGATACTGAGTTGGAGGTCAAAAGGTCAACTGTGAAGGATGTTAAGATCACTTTCCATACAGTATTAAGCAGAAGGGATTGCATATAAAAAGATGATTTTTTCCGCGTTGATTTCTGATTTTTACGTCTCTCCTGTCCTCCCTTTTTGAGGAAAGACATTCAATTGTTAAAATGAGACATCTGTTCATTGCTATCAAGGCCTATGTTGCTTAGAAAATTTAATTAACGGCATGAGACGAGTGTTGTATGCAAAACTAACTGTAAGCTTGTGTGTAGATAGTACCAATACTATTTCCCAAAACTGAACTAGGAGAAATCAACCTACATGTAGAGGTTTAATTTCATTAGTTTTGATAGCAGGATGACAGTAACGACTATCTAATGTTATGATAGGCTCGTTACGAATAAGTCAATGTTATATCTACGTGAGAGGATGGCCTTGATCTCTTGAGATGGAGCCACCTGGCTAGATATCCTAATGTTGAGTGATTTTGGATCACAGATCCCGGTCCTTACAGTGCCAATTCAGGTCACAAAGGCCTTGTAAGGTCCTTAAATTTCAGTTTCAGAAATATTGACACGAAGGTGAATGTGTTTGATGCTCATTACTTTGTCTTTGTTCCGTTTTTACATACCTTGTTGTCATTTGGGGAAGTGACTTTATTTACTTGGATTCACCGAAATTTACCGAATCTGTGTAAATCACTTGTTTGTTCATATGTTACTATTGCTTAATTGACAACGCTGCACAAAGTGATGACCCTGTTGTGGGTAGCGTCCAATCGTTTTTTCCTACCCTGTGTGAGATTTATAGAAAGGAAGATCTAAACACGAGGGTAAAGGAGATTAATTTAGATCCCCATATCTTCATCAAGCAGAAGCGTAATTATTTATCTATTATCCTGCTGACCTTATTAGGTACATGTAACCCTCCCTCCCACATGATAGATACGAAATTCAATTCATATCTCGGGAAGGGTTGAGACGAGATGGATTTCACTTTCAAGACAATGATATGACGTCAAATTAACAATTCATTGACGTCACGTCAACAATTGCATCCCGTCAATGATGCGAGGCACTAGGGCAACAAAGAAAGGTACCCTTCACCTGAATCAATGGATTACCGTCACTGAAACATCTGTCGATGAAATAATATAATCTGATAATACGACATTTTCCAAAAAAATGAAAAGAAGCGTCAAAATGAAAATAATTGTTAAGTAATTCGTCAAACCTGGATTAATCAGTGAGATAGGCACAAACTCGGAATACAAATTCCAGAATTCAATTAGTTGAGTGTTAGGGAGCATTTTTCGTTACGAAGACTACTGTGAAAAGATAAAAGAAAAAATGGCCGAACGTTACAAGGATTTCAGCCTCATTTGATTAATTAGATACACATGTGTGGAGTCTACATGTGTTCGTTGAACCAGTGTCTATGTCTTAGTGATATCGGATTTCTTATATTGAAATTCTGTGCAACGTACTCCAAATCATTCTCGAAACAATGTTCATATGGAATATTACAAGGAACGAAACTCTTATTTATTCTGGTCAAACTAACAATGCTTTCAGGTACGGCAGACATGCGATGACCAAACCAAAAAAAGATATATATTTATATACTGAGCTCGGTCTCTTGAACTGTTAAAAGGGACGCGAATTAATGTTTCGGTAGCTCGAATATATTTGCCTACGATTTAAACTTGTGAGGGTAAACTCTTTACAAATACATTTGGGCTGGTGGCCAGTTTACCTGATGTGTGGCGTCGGCTTGGCAATGACCAAGTATTGTATGGCGGCGTGCTGACGATGACCGAACTACAGTGTACAGTATGGCGGCGTGTTGGTGATGGTCGTGCATGCGTATGCATTATGTTATGTACATAAACACACGTGTTGGTTCACCTACTACGGTGGCTGGTCCAGCCTGAAAGTTATAATCTAGGACACATGATACAGCGGGGTTACTACAGTCAGAATATCGTCACACGGTGTCGATTCTAACTTGACTGTGTTGAAAATGTCAAAGATCTTAACCGTGTAACACGTGTTTTATGTCGTTCTTCAACTGGATGGATGCCTGTGCATATTTCCTACAATTGCATATATTCTGTTTATAGAAAAGACGTCATGACTCCATATGTACTAAAATAGATGATGAACCGTGACAGAGGTCATATTCTATCGGAAAGTAACCAACCAGATATCAGCCTTCTAAAGCGTAGATACCCTGGAATGACATTTTATCGTTATTTTGTCAGGTAACATAGGTACGGGAGGCGTAACCAGCAGGTAAAACGTCAGGAAGACTACTGTACGATCTCATTCTGACACAGGTGTATAACAACGAACCTCGCAAACGTGACAAAGCTATGAAGTGTAACATGAAGGATTTAGTAATATCTGTGATCCTGTTTTTATACATACAGCACATACATATAGTGGAATGCACGTGTGTCCTTTCTCAGCAGAGATCCACTGAATCCTTCAGAGAGATGTTTATGGGGCGATGTCTTCATTACCAAACCGTCATTAACAGTCCGGAATTCTGTTCACAGTAAGTTTCCTAATGACCATGTTCATGTTCTCGGCTTAAACAAGTCACACGTGCTAATCAAAATGTCGTACTTTGTTTAGTTTAAGCTTCTTGATACAAACATAACAGTGATGATTAATTCAGTGATGGTAATAAGTTTTATAATGTTGATTATTGGTTTCATAATGGAACTAATTCAGTGATGAAAATTAGTTTCATAATGTAACTGATTAAGTGATAATACTTAATTTCACAATGATCCTAATTCAGTGGTGATAATTAACTTTACAATGTTACTAATTCAGTGATAATTAGTTTATATAATGTAACGAATCCAGTAATGATAATTAATTTCATAATTGAAGTAATACAGTGGTGATTATTAGTCTCAAATTAAACTAATACAGTGGTGATATTTATTTTCAAAATGTTACTAATTCAGTGATAAATTTATTTAATGTATCTAATTCACTGATGATGATGATTAGTTTCACAATGTAACTAAATCAGGGATGATAATTTGTTTCACAATGTAATTGATTCAGTTATAATATTCAACTGGGCCATTTCACTTTGTGTACTTGAAATATTTATAATGAAAATAACTTAGTATTCTTATTCAAATGCTCAATTCTGTTCAGTGTAAATGTTTTGTGGGAAAAAAATTGTGATGCAAGTATACCTCAGGTACAGAATACTTTTAGGACAGCCTCATTAATGCCATGATAGAAGCCTCTACCAGACCATATCAACACATATGATCGATAGAATGGTACCTAGTAAAAATCTGATAATGTATATCTTGAGCTGAAATATTCAAGTTATTTACTTTTAATTGAGACACAAATTATTACATTTTATAATAATCACTCTAATTGACTCGTACATATAGATATGCACAGAAGAGTATTATGTATACAAAATGACTGAGGTATTGTGTATACAATATGACATAGAGATTATGTTTACAAAATGGAAACCCATTGGTCACCTCATTTTAAATAACGGACACAGGTTAAAGAATTTTCATCAAAGCTGTCATAATTGCCTCGCTTTATTTTGATTAGGTTTTCCACGTAATTGTAATGAACTTTCAAAGTATTTGTGAAATTCGTGTTTGTTTTCTTACACCTCCCTAACCTAACGAGATTGTAAAATGTAGTATGGTATGATAAACACCTCCGTATTTAGAACTTATCCTTATCTAGTATGTCTCCAGAACTAAAACAGAACTTACGCAAACAATTATGTTATGAAAGGTTAATATTGACAGACCCGAATCCTAATCTTTGTGTGTCGTTTGACGTCCAGAGGACGTGATAGCTTATTCGGCAAAGCATCGGTCTATCACGTAATCTTAGGTGTCACCGTTCCCTTGTCGCTCTGGATGACAGACGACGGACCTCTCGTATATTGTTCAGCGAGATGACAACCAATTACTACAAGGAAACAAAGTTGATTAGCTGATAAGGGGGTGATAAATCCAACAAATAAACACGATTCTTTGTACTTGTCTTTATAAACGCTTTTGATCTAATTCTGTATCAGAAATAAATGACGCTCTCCTGTTTCTCAAGATACAGTATACCCCTGTACTGATTAGTATTCTATACTTGTCATTAATTTAGACCTAAGAACTGTACACTGCTGTGGGAGTTATTCCTCCAAGGATTCGCCTACCAACCTCCATGTAATACGTCTAGTGAAGGCTTCCGTCCCTTTGTGAGAGCAGCATATCACAATACCCCGAGAGACAAGGTAAGAGAAGACTCGAATAATCAAATCAGTACTTCGAACAAATGTTTAAATAAACACGAATTAAGTAATAATCAATTATAACAATATATTGTCATTAAATCACTATGTTATCATTGATACCAGAGACACAGCATGATGAAAAAGATTTCATGGCAAGTGCTCGTACTATTCGCGTTATAAACTAAATCTAAAGACTGCTGTTATTGCGATTCCGACAAAGGGATATCTACCACATTTTGCAGAGTAAGAATATTTACCTAATCTTCATGAATACTAGTAGCATGTCTGAAACTAAATTCTGCAAATATTTGACTGCTATCAGCAGCAAAATGAGGAAAATTATGAGTAATAAAATACACAAAAAACATACGGATGGAAAACATCTTTTAATAAACAATGAATCAAATTGTACCAAATCGATATTTAGTAATTCTAGGATTCCAAAATCTGAAACCCAGGTGTCAGCTGATAAAAAACATCAAGAAAATACCAGCATGGCAACAGAATCATAATTCAAACTCAAATTCCATAAATTTCATAAAATATGAACAAAAGAAAGATTAACATAAAGACTCTTGAAAAAATTCAAGGAGAATAAGACCACATGTTCAGGAGGAGTATGCGCCTTCTGCTTCATCGACGACACCCGTCATATAAACCTTGGTCAAGTATTGTTGCGTTCTCAAATGCTAACATGATATATAATAACGGAAACAACAGGCAAACTACTGAGCATCAAATGCGTCCAGCATACCTCTCAAAGAAATAGAATATTTCTCAATGAGGTGACTATGGCTAACATCCCTATAGTTTTCATCACTCTGCATTTTTGTCAGTCACTTGACGACTTCCTACACGAAAAAACGTGATAATAGTGTAAGTCCTTCAATATCGAATCAGCTGTGACATGTAAACGCCATTGGTTGGAGATGTAGAGATATTGCTATCCAGAAATGGAAAATTCACAATAGGGAAGTTGAAATCATCACGTTTATCATATAACTCATTGGAAAGCTGTCCATGTTGGTTTCGTTGTAGGAAAAAATCGGTATAAACAGCTGATGTAGAAGAGCTTAAGGTATCTTTGATTTCCAGCTCTGGTTTATACATACGATGGACGTACTTATAATACAAGACGTCATATATATATATATTTGAAGGTGACTTTACAAGGTTTTTTCTTTTTTTTTTTTTTTTTATAAATTCAGCCTCGTATGTAAACCAAACATTATAGAATAAAATGCCAAAATTATGTTGGGGGACCTGTGCACTAGTCACCTCATCGCTTTTGAATATATAGTTGGAACTGCGAAAATTAAGACCAGCGAGATAACACAGTCTACCTAACCTTAAGGCAGCTGTTTGTTTTTCACAAGAAAATCTATTCCGTGAGAAAGTATCGTATTGTGAGCAGGATTTCCTATTCTATCGTCATCGTGATTTTGAAATGTTAATAATGTAACTATGAATCCTGTTTGTTTTAACTGTAACAAGGAGTCGCTGTGTAGCTGATAACCACAAATTGTATAAAAATTATAACCTCCTTACCAGAAATGACAACTAGCGCACGACTTTATCCTGATTTCTACACTTCCCGGTTTATGAGTTTACACAATAATATTCGTTCCGAAAAAATGTTCGTTTTAATCTTTTGTGTCAATGGTGTCAAGTCTCAAGGTAAATAGAATTTGTCTGGGTTTTTTCAACAACTTCAAATCTCTGTCTCCATAATGTACCTTTACCTTTAATTTACCTGTTTATTTCGGTTAAAGATATAGAATGACACACGGAGTTGGCCTTGCTCATGAGTTACGTGAGACGAATAGTGGGTCTACCAAATAAATTGCACATGACTTGTAGGTTAAATGTATAGCTGTATTGTAAATATTGCGGTCAATTGATGTTATGATAAAGTGTAGAGGAGAGAAGGATAAACTCATGTGAAATATATGAAATATAATGCTGAATTCGGCGTGTTGTTTGAATTTATTTAAATCTTTATAAATATTATATTAAGTATAATATATATAGATACGTATATAGATAAATATAAATAGGTATATATAAATATTGCAAATATAAACACCAAAAGAGGTCTTATCACTGTTGATCTTTTTTGTCATTTCCATTTCAGAATATTTTATAATTTTATAGACAAAACGAATAGTTTATGAAAGTCGCAATGTACAAATCAGTCAGATAATGAATATATAAAATGAAAGGTATGGAATACTACACAAATATTACATTAATACATTATAGGTTACAAAATGATTAGTACCATTTTTGATTGTAATACCGTCCCCTAATCATTACAACAAGAATCAGGCACCTGGAATGCAGCATCGATAGTGCTTATCTGTTGTTTTTTTCTCTTTTCTCCTTTTCTTTTTGTGCTTTGAACACATTATCTGTATTACTTTACTCTTTGTTAGAGTCTGTTGATACATATAGGTCAATCATATTCGTTCAGAAAGAGATGGTATTACCTCTGGTGCTTTGCGTGACACAAATAGTTTTTTTTTTTTTTTTTTTTTTTTTTTGGTAATTTTCACTTTTTTGTTTTCTCTTTTTTTTGAAAACCACCATGAGAAATACTAAGAACATCAATTTCTGTCTCAATTATTGAAATACAAATTGGAAATATCAACCTTTGATTTATCTGTGACCTGTTAAATTGAACATCACGAGATTGTATAAAAGCATTATAGGTAAGGGTAATCTATAATGTACATTAATGACTGCAAAATGAAAAAGAAATATTAATTTAAAAAATCGAACACATACCATCATAACATTTCCTTAATAAATCTTTGCTATTTTCATATTGTATGTATCATGGTGTCAGAGAATTAAAATCGACGTACAAAAACTTTCAGGGTGTCTAAATATAGACAAATCGTAGTTCGTAGATGCAATGTTTTATTAATTTTAATACAATGCCAATTCATCTTGCAGATACAGAGTTATTTGATGGCAAATTAAACAACAGATTTAAACAAGAAACATTACAATTGTATAACTAAAAAGATACCCTTGGGTCATACAATAATCCCACTCTTCCCCGAAGTATTACTACAAAATCATATTTTTCGTGAAGCATAATTATCGTGGTCTTTTTAAAAACAGAATTCGTTGGCGTTTATACTTATGGATAAAGATAGCTCATTAAATCAAAATATACTAATTCATTGACATCTGAACTCGTGGATTCAGATTACCCAAGAATTCAACGAGAAAAAATCAAGTTAAAAATAATAATTTTACTGCAGGGTGCGGTTGCAAAAATCAGAACTGACCAAAATCGACTTCTTAATAAAGAGGAGCTGCGCTCTAATTCCATGATAAAAAATGGCCTTTTCAAGCCTAAGTCAAACGTTTTGTAAAATACTCTCACGGAGTTTCTACTATTTGATATTTAACTTTGTCATTTAGTGGGTTCAATATTTAAATGATTTATTAATAAAGTTGAACTAAGAGGATGCTTATTGTTTTCAGCATATCTTCTGGTCAGGTGTCTACAGAATGATCGACAGGTATACTTATGGTGGCCGAAAGCTGACCGCCATCGACGACACCTTAATAGGTTAGTTCTGGAGGTATTCGAATGGTCAGTTGATCACGTCATTATTGTCAACAGATACAATTTAATAATGCGTGTTAGAATATACACATGCACTTGCCCCGCTCCTTTGAGATTTTAGAATTTCTTTAGTTTTCTCTCAGACGCCTCTCGGGCTTCAAAACTTAGGCCGTCAGCCTCACAGACGATTCCTAATAGGACGAAACGACTGTATGATGCATTTTAATTCATCATTTGGCTCTCCTGTCTTTAATTCTGAATTTGTATTTAAGATGGTATTCCTTTGTGTTGAAACCTAGGAGAAGATTGAGGAAAATCATATTCGAAATGAAAACATTTATATTTGTTATAAAAAAATCTCAATGTGTATTGTTTTCTATAGACGGTTATATATATAATACGTTTTCACTCTAGATAAATGAAACGTACTTACGAAACACATTGCACCAACATTGTACTAACGTATATCTAGAAAGTCTAAAACGATTCCTGCAATACTTACACAAAATCTAACATACTGGAACTTCCTGTAAAATAAGGTTATATTAACATATTTTAATCTATTTATTTTGATTATTTGAAAATATCTGTTTCAGGATACTTAGTAGACGGGTTCGACTTTTGTGGAAGTACGACTTCAGCGGATGGGAACGAAGTGAATATAACGTCATGTCCCAGGTGTCCACATTCTGCGAGCACTGCATTCTGGTCCATAGCATCAATCAACGTGAGTAATAAAACAACAGCATAGAATATACTTGATTGATGATATGTGCATTCTTAATTAGCAAAAGAGTGATACTGATAAAGTTTTAAATCTTTACAGAAATAATGTTATATTTTTGAAAACTTGGATAATTCAGGTATTCAGATAAAACGCTTGTCAAAAATCAAATACATGAGAAACAAATATTTAGTCCTTTTCAACAGTTGAGATGCCCAACCATCAATCCCGAATTACTTATGTCGTAAATAAGGCTTTATGTTGATATCCGACAGTGAGATATTTCTGTGTATGTTGTAAATATGTGTATACCACATAAGAAGTGTGTTTGATTAAATTCATTTCATTATTTGTTTACATGTAGTGTAATGATATTTTATATCGAATAATATGTCTGATATATCAATAACTATTTAACTTCGATACATATGTAGTATTTATTTTATTAATCAATTGATTAGTATATATGATATAGGATAACGATATTGATGTGATTTACATAATATCACCATTGTTGTACATATATATATTTACATATATGATTTATCAATAATAAGGTACATTTAATTTCATTATGATTAGTATGCACTCGATGCTAAAGGAGCCATCAAGATTATGTTGAACTCTAGTCGCAGTCCGGCAATAAGGCAGTCGTCGTGAGTATTTTCAATTTTTTGTTTAAACATGAGGCAGATTGTTTCCTCAATGGTGATTGTGAGTTTCTGGACACAAATATTTGAGTCATGGATCCGTGCTTTTTAGTGGACTCATTCAAATTTAGGGAACCTCTATGTCCCTTTGTATCTAAAAATGGCGCTCTGGACTCAATAGACAAAGTCTATAAAACTGGTTTTGCCGTTTGCAAGCAATCACTGAATGATATTGGACATGTCAAGAATCAGACAATTTCATTTTATTTTTTAACTAAGAGTCGTTGTATAGACCAAAGCGGTTCTGCCAAGTTGCAACATTCTTTTAATCTCAACCTTGCTTATTTGCTCTTTTTTCATACCTTTTTTGTCGATGTAGGAAGGATATGGCATATAATTTGTCTGTCGCGTGTGAACGATATGGTATATAATTTGTCTGTTGTTTGTGGACGAGATGGTATATAATTTGTCTGTTGTGTGGACGAGATGTTATATAATTTGTCTGTTGTGTGTGAGATGGTATATAATTTGTCTGTTGTGTGTGGACAAGATGGTGTATTAGTCGACAGTTGTGTGTGGACGAGATGGTGTATTAGTTGACTGTTGTGTATGGACGAGGTAGTGTATCATTTATCTGTCGTGAGGTGATGAAGTTGTGTATTATTTGTCTGTTGTGTGGACGAGATGGTATATAATTTGTCTATTGTGTGTGGACGAGATGGTATATTAGTTTACTGTTGTGTGTGGACGAGGTGGTCTCTCATTTATCTGTCGTGAGGTGATGAAGTTGTGTATTATTTGACTGTTGTGTGTGGACGAAGTTGCTTACCGTTTGTTTAGTGCTGGTGATAAGGTTTGTACAATTTTTTTCGTGTGTAAACGAGATGGTATATTAGTTGTGGTGGTATACAATTGGTCTGTCTTGTGTGTACGAATTTGTCTTGAGTTGACGAGTTGGTATATTATTTGTCTGTCGTGTGTGGACGAGTTGGTATATTATTTGTCTGTCGTGTATGGACGAGATGGTGTATTAATAATCTGTCGTGTCGTGTGAATTATCCTTCCGTCTTTCATTGACAAGGTTGTATATATTGTGGGTTTTTTGTTTTATCTTTATCTTATTAGACACGGATATCAATATGTCTGGTTTTTGCAGGTTTTTTTTTACCAAGGAGCTCCCAAACATACACCAGCCAAATGTTACGAGCGCCCACGTGCTGCTTGTCCACAGCATAGGATACCAACCAAAGTAGGTAACACGACCAGTGATTATGATTTCTCACGTTGAAACGAATACTGTTTTATTCGGTCTATCGTTTCTCATATCAGAACACGCTATTTTATGTCGTCACCATGTGGTCAGTTAAAAGTAAGCATTTCAAAAACAAGCCAGCCAGCGTTGCTTTGAAGTAATACATTGTACGGTGTGCAACAATACTTCAGGATATGTGGGGCTAACAAAAAATGATAATAAAGTGCCTAGGCAAAAAGTAGAGGAAACTTTGGATTTGGAAAATAAGTGTTCATGCATGGATGAATAAATTGCATGTTTTATACTACTGAACCACTTTCCCTCTTGTATATGCTTTTGTAGATCAACCCTGCCAACGGAAAATTAAGGATGCTAGTTCAAGTCAATGTTAAAAATATATATGAATCAGCATGGAAACGTATTACATCTATGCGCTGTGTATCTACATTAGTTTTATATTTTCTTTACAACTCTAAATCGAAATTTGAACCAAGGAAAATAAAGGATGTTACATTTTTAATTCTAAAGATACATGGGGATAAAAGTGTCCGATATTTTAATAGACATTTCAATGTTGTTTTATTGTCAACAGAGAAAATTGCTCAAGTCCATCAGTGAAGAATCTGACGACAATATTGACGTCAAGAGGTATCAGCACCGTATGCGAGGAACAACCAAGGTAAGATGGTGCTTAATTAAGCATATTTTCCCCCCTTAATATACTTTTTTCATTTCTGTATAGCAACATTACTGCTTCCGAAACATATAGTGTTTCCATACCACAGTGATTTGAGATACCATGACTTGTTCCCTATATCACGAAATTTGGCGGTCGTTGAGAAACAAAGCTGGACATGTTTGATACTTGTCAGTATATCTGATGGAGTTTCATTGTTGTTTACTATATTCTTATTTGGGAAGGTGACATGACTTACAGTACCTGGATTGATCAAGAAGTGATGGGTGTCGTTGATGAAGTAAGAAACATCTGGTCTCGTTCTCTGGTGTCTTCGTGGGGTTCCATGTGTATCTTTCTCGTGCTCATATATGCCTAGATTTCATCGACTTTCGAGCTTCTGTTGACATTGTAGTATTTCCCTTTAGACCTACCATCTATTAGAAGTATCGTTTGTAGGTAACATCCGTGGTATGCTGATTTACAACAATATTTCAGTTCTTGCTAGAAAAGGATTCATAAAGTGCATTATTAAAATTATTAACAGTTAAGTCATATTTCATCGAAGCTGATCCATCATGCCACTATTTGTTCCAAAAATACATTTACCAAAGCAAGTAGGTCATCGAGATTAACTTCAAGGATGTTTCAAGATTCTGTATAAACACCTTCTGCAAAATTTCTTCGTCATCCATGATGCCAACTTGATTTTAAGTCTGATTCTACTGTTACAGAGATGTAGTGCTGCTTCAGTGTGCAGATTTCCCCTCAAGCACAGACTGTGACAACATCCTTATCTCCTCGGGATCAGACAGACAGAGTGCTCATGTTTCCTTCATCACGGCTGTAGTATTGAATTACGTGTTTCAGTCGTTCATGTCACACCGCTAACGACTGACTTCTTTTTTGTTATTTCAGCTAAAATTAGACTGTTAATATGTCCTATCCCGTGTTTTGTTTATTTCCTTTTAATACTGCTCAAACTAACACCTTTCGCACGTGAACACTTTAATTTATATATTTCTACATTTATAAACCTTAATTCGTTGTTTCTATGTTGTTTATGTTAGCCATCAAATCACAATGTAATTATAATTGTGCTGATAAAGTTGAACTGAATTGTATATATCGTAAACACATGATGACTTGATCCATTCTCTATCAATATGATGTCATTGATTTTATAATAAAGTTATATAAGTATTTTTTTTTAGTGTTATTCGATTATTTAGTCGATCAAAACCTATAACATAATACACAAACAATTCTTTTTAGACAATCTTACAGATATTTAATGTTATATAACAAAATCATTTCTTATATTACAACTTATAAAATGTCTGCTACGTTTCAATGATTACTCAGTCACCATCTTCAGACGGTTGACCAATGCAAAGCGTATTTGCGCTTCCGGCTGTAATATAATTCTAAGTACACTTATCTGGAAAAAATATGACGAAATGACGCAAAGACTAGAGTAAAAAAAGGTTGAATCGGCGATCTGAGAGTGTAACGTGGGAGTAGCTGAGAAGTCTCTTACTGGGAACAGAAGACACAACGGCATTAAGTTCAAGAAAGCTTACGTTTATATACACCAAAATTATGCAAAGACAAGATATATAATTACAAAAAAACAGGAATACTACACACAGCTTTCACCCAACTTTCTCACTAGATAAAGTCTTTCTACACGGGCCCAATCCAACGTGCACCGGTCCAAGAGCGTCGACAACAATTGTCCGATGAAAACACGCAACAAAGTTCTTTACACAAAAGTTTGAGGACCTTTCCAGGTCTGTCTGCATAGCCAAAACCTCAGGCTCAAAGACGAAACTTGCGTGTTGCAAGTGAGTATCATACCACAATGTAGTGGTCCATCAATGACATAGTGCATCCACTGGCACCGCAGCTGCCCTCTTGGTATGTCACATCTTCATAAGTTGTGCACGATAACTGGTCCAGTATAATGACTCAGTTCTGAGCTCTGCATCCTCAGGTCCGCAATAAGTGCACAGTCTGTATTAAATCTGTGCCTGTATAATGCGCATCGCCATAAATTATTCACTGAGCGACACGGCCAGGTAGAGCACTCTCATGGCTCCTGCTCGTGCGTCCCCAGTGTTAACTCACCTGTCCTCGCTACGGAACTCCCTACGCGTCAAAGTACGACACAAAACACGACACATAACAACATAAAATACGGAAATAACGTACAGGAATATACGCGATCGTGACAGAGAGTTCTATTCCATAAGGTGTAAACCTGGTCGTGGGAGTGCATGGGCGTCCAATCCTATCTAATTTTCCTACTGACTGTAATATGAGAACGTCTATTCTATATGCAGTATACCTGTTGGACAAAGAAAATATTTAAATATAGTAACGCAGATCATGCACACACATTTAAGATACAGTATCGTTGGATAGCTGTGCGAAAGGATAACACAATAAAAATGGTTGGCTTATATTACGGATTGAAAACTAAACGGAAACTTCGTGAAGTTATTACTAAATAGCGATCACAGGAGCATTAGAATTTATCGGTGAAGTTAAAAGTGGTCTTCATTCGACTGTTGGCTGGGTCGCCCTTGCAACAAACACAACGTAAGATCTACCTGAGCATAAGTTTGTGTGTACAAAATGAATGAAAAATAAGAGTAATATAAATTTAATGAAAATAAAACTTCCTTTCTGACGGTATGAGATTTTAAAAGATTCATTGCTGTGTCATTTCTATATACATATCAACTACGAGAGAATTGCACAACGTACGCACAAATGTGCGATAGCTTATGTCGTCCAATTTTCCCATCTTGCGCACATCGTGCAGACATCGCGCGCACGTTCTCAGTGCGATGAGACAACGTATGTAAAAATGAAGCTCGTTAACTTCATGGAGTCATATGTAATTGTATGTCGCTGATTACATTTGTATATGTTATTAACTGTTTTGTTTTCACTAGTGCATCACAAGCATTTCTCAGTCATATGATAAACAGAAGCTGACTTTCCATTTCATTTAGACTGATGAAACTCGTCATAATTCATTATTAATTTATCCCACTAATTCTTCGACTTGTCTCTTGCTTTGACCAATGGGTGCTGTAAGTGCTTTGTCGTGAACTTTTAAAATTGTTTTTATTCATCATCATTGGCACGGTCTAATTAATTTGACCTGTGACAATTTATACATAAAAACACATTTTTTACTTCAATTGATTAAGCACACATTTATCGAACCATTCTCTTATGTTTTTCTTGCAATATAATGGACGTTATGCTTCTAGAGGGGAATTATATTACTTGTATAACATAGATATAATCATCTATCTAATTCTTCAAATGTAAAACCTATTCGGCTTATTATTGATGTATATTGATATTATGCCTTGTCCAATGTCAAAGGGCATGTATCGTACGGCTTATAAGCAGTGGGTGTGACACGAATACCGACAAAGTTAGAACAGCTTAATGTAAACCGTTTAGAGACATGTTATTGATGTAATCCTTGTCACAGTTGTGTTGACAATCAACAAGAAAACTAGTGAGCACAAATTAAGAAACTAATAATACAAACTATACAACCTACTGTAAATGGAACATGTTAAAATCAGATTAACTACTGCGGTCTTCTTTTATGTACAGGCAGAGCGGGATGACCAGGTTTTAACTCTTTAGAAATGTACCACAAAAGAATTACGTAAGATTCAGTGTTGTGGTAAACGTGCTAAATAAAAATCCAGACAGGATTCGGTGTTTTAAAAATTCAAAATGTACTTCAATTTTTTATTGCATGATTACAAACAAAACAAACATTGTAATCAATAGCCTATCTGTGTGGAAGGCCCACGGAAGGTGATTTTTCAATGTGTCCTATATTTTGTTTGAATGTAACGGAGAACAATGACAGCATTTAAACAGTAGAGCAAATTTAAGAACAACATACCACACATTCTAGAATTTATATGTATATGAAATGAAGTCGAAGTTATCATTAACTTGTCCAATACTACAAATGAACGGTGCCAAAACATAGCCACTATTCAAGTCAATCCTTATAGGCTCCAAACTATATGTATATTTCCTTTAACAAGAATCCATATCTACAAAATACTCGATCCTCGGCATATAATTTTAGTCTCCCATCAGTACAAGGTAAAGAATCTACAACATTCTACTTTACAGGCGCAAAAGAATGGAATTCTCTTCCAGATTATATTAAAAGTATACCAAACAAGCTTAAGTTTCAAGCTTTTTGGGAAATCCAAGGATATATGTACTTTTGGCTTTATTTATAAATATCACTGGCTAATACATTAAAGATGTAGCAAACAACTTATTCATGATTATGTAAAACATGTTATATGTGCCATATATTCATATGTTTTGTATACAAATCTGTACATCTTTATCCTGAATAAATATATTATCTTTATTATTATATTAAATACATTTTGTCAACAAATTCGAGACAATTAACATGATTGAACGACGTTTAAAATGGTAACAAAGTAAAGCAGGGATTCTACTCTCTATGTATTAAAAATATTGATATAGTGTCATCTTATTACCACGCCCTGTCGAGTGACCAGATTTACTTCAAGACATAAAATACGATAATTCTATTGGCGTCATCATATATGTTATTTCCTTACATGGTATTGACATTAATCTATTCATTTCCTCGTATCAAGATCCATACCTTGAAACCTATTCTTGTATCTTTCAAATAAGACACGTCGCGTCTTTGTCACTTTAAGGAAAAATTATCAATATATCAGAGAGCTTATCAAAAAAAGTCATAAAACTCTGTCAAGTGCTTTTATTTTGTCCTTTTTCTAAATGAAAATAAATGTATCTCTCATTTTCATCGTATATGTTGCCAGAATTCATCAGAAAATACGTCCCTGTCTTGCTCCCCCTCCCCCGTCTTTACCTGAAGGAAGCCATGCCAACCCTCAGTGACAACCTTATTGACGATATGATACTCGTAGTACTATTTCCCCCTCTTACTTATTATATACAAACGATTAATAATAATAATAAATAAGGCGTATGTTAGAGGACAGTTCATGTGCCGACATATCTAGAATGACACGTACTTAAGCACTGTTTTTACACATTGTCTCTCTTTCTTTAGACTACTTGGCGACTTATGTCCTGACCAAGCAGACATTTTAGACCGTTACATAAAAGTTTGGTCGAGATGTGTTCTGATCAAGCATAGGTAGGAGATTATTACTTCCAGCAGAATACTCACTGACACGGGCAAAACACAGGTATGGAAATCCACACGAGAAATTAAGAATATGTTCTCTGGGTACATAAAGCAGTATTACAATGCTAGCAGTCTTAAAGCGACATTTACATACAACACATTCTTATCTAGATAAAAATAGCAGTATTATAATGCTAGCAGTCTTTAAAGCGACATTTGCATACAACACACTCTCCTAGATACAAATAGCAGTACTATAATGCTACAGTCTTTAAAGCGACATTTACATACAACACATTCTTATCTAGATAAAAATAGCAGTATTATAATGCTAGCAGTCTTTAAAGCGACATTTGCATACAACACACTCTCCTAGATACAAATACCAGTACTATAATGCTAGCAGTCTTAAAGCGACATTTACATACAACACATTCTTATCTAGATAGAAATAGCAGTATTATAATGCTAGCAGTCTTTAAAGCGACATTTGCATACAACACACTCTCCTAGATACAAATAGCAGTACTATAATGCTACAGTCTTTAAAGCGACATTTACATACAACACATTTTTATCTTGGTACATATTAGAAGTACTATAATGCTAGCAGTCTTTAAAGCGACATTTACATACAACACATTCTTATCTGGATACAAATAGCAGTACTATAATGCTACAGTCTTTAAAGCGACATTTACATACAACACATTCTTACCTGGATACAAATACCAGTACTATAATGCTACAGTCTTTAAAGCGACATTTACATACAACACATTCTTATCTGGATACATATAGCAGTACTATAATGCTACAGTCTTTAAAGCGACATTTACATACAACACATTCTTATCTGGATACAAATACCAGTACTATAATGCTACAGTCTTTAAAGCGACATTTACATACAACACATTTTTATCTTGGTACATATTAGAA